TTGCATGTGCATAGAATGTATGTGGCATGTATGTGTCTGTGCAGTATGTGTAGTGTGTGTGTGTGTGTGTGTGTGTGTGTGTAGTGCGTGTGTGTATGTGTGGTGTGTATGTAGATAAACAGATATAGAGTCCTGTGGTCCGTCTGTGAAGCAAGCAGTATTCACTTTCGAATCACCATGATGATCTTACCAGATCACATCGGTTCCCCAATGCCCCCTCTCTAAACACTGCAGTCTCTTTACATTACCACTCTCTAAATACCTCACTAAAGTGATTACATTTCAATACATTGAAGGACATACTAACATTATAAAAACTGTAAGAAAGCCTTTGATCACATAGAATTTATTTTTATTTTTATTAATTTATTTTGAAACAACTTGAAACATTAAAGAAAATAATGCCAGTGGAAAACAAAGAACTCAAGTCCCCTTTCATTTCCCCGGTCTTGATATACATTTTGCTGTGGCCTCTGACAGGCCAGAAAACCACCACCCAAGGACTCCCTTTTCTTTAGCCAGAACACAAGTTTCCAATTGGAAACCAGCACTCACGTAACATAGTGTCATTCAAGTATTTAATTGTGCCAGCAATATCTTTGCCCCTGATCTAGGGATCACACATGGGAATACAAACTGCACATAATCCTTATTACTCTTCCAGCTGGTCCAGTGTGGAGAGATGTTCTCTCTGTCACACACCACGCAGATGTCACCATGCAGATGTTCACCTTGTCACACACTCAGGAACTGTGCAGAGCCTTGCCTTGTGAATTATTCTCTACCTCTACAGACATTCCACAACAACAAGCTTATTTTTAAGAGGAGAGCATTTACCTCCAAAATCCAAATATATGCATTAAAACAGTTTCCTCTGTCAGCCATATGTTTCAAGCCTAAAAGTTTCACCTACCACTGGAAAGTGTCATGACCTAAAGTGGAAAAAGTCACCTTATAAAGGGGTGAGCATGAAGGTGGAAAAGTCCCCCTAACAACAGGGTCTCTCTCTCTCTCTCTCTCTCTCTCTCTCTCTCTCTCTCTCTCTCTCTCCTTTTTAAAGTTTTCCATTCACATACAAGACAATGGGCTCTATTGGGACATTTTCCAAATGTAGTCATTGTACTTTGCTCATATTAATTCACCCCTTTATTAAACCTTCTTATCCCTATCCACCGACTCCCCTTCTTTTTTGCATATCATCCCCCTTCTCCTTTAATATCACACACACACACACACACACACACACACACGAGGCAATTTGTGACATGTGTCATCAACCCCCCATGTCCCCCTTCCCACCTTACATGAAGTTTTATTGGGACCTCAAATGACATAATACCATGCACAAATTCACTTTCCTCCTAGTTTAAATATGGTGTCGTTATTTCAATGAAAAGAACTAGCAATATGCATTTATATTCATACTTTGATTAAAGGTTTCAGTTGAAGATTAAAAACAATGACAGATTGCATTTGAGAGAGATGTATTGCTAGGTCAATCCATTCTAGTACAACAGTGGCTTTTTTTTTTTTTTTCTTCCTGGCCTAGAAGACAGAGCTGGAAGCTCCCACTGGCCCTGGCAATTGCTCTTGCAAACAATTTCAAGGGGATGTGTCCTGAGATGGCAGCTTCTGGGAAGTCCATGCATGATGGATTAGGAGAGGAAGCTGGGAAATCAACTCATAAACTGCTCAGCCAAACTCGAGTGCCCCAGCCTGAACTGAGGAAGAATGCTTTAAAGAAAAGAATTTTGTCTGCCTGTCACTTAATTATGCACACCTACTTTAGGTGTTTTCTGTTCAATCTGCAATCCCAAACTACAACAAGGTAACAAGGGTTTGTTTTTTGTTTTGTTTTGTTTTGTTTTTTTCTTCAGCAACTGTATTTGTTTCTGTAACTTTTGGGAAATTAGTTATCTGAAGGGGGAAAAAAAAGCCCTGGCCCTACTGACCTATGACAGGCATTCTTGCATGGACCAGAGGCTTTGTTTTGTGTGCATTCTGGCTGCCCTGGCTGCCAGGCATGTCCACGCTGTCTGGAAAAGTTCTGGTTCACAAAAAGTCAAAATTGAAGATCCTTTGGAGATTAAATCCTAGACATATCCTCTTTGTTTCCAGATTGGGAGAATGCAACCCCAAACCTTCTAGGGACAGCCAAGGTCATTTGAAGGCCATGGCTAAATCTGAGCTCCTACACTGCCATCTTTCACATTATATACGACGTGGATAGACTTTTCAAATTAATAAAAGAGGAAATGTCCTCCAAACTAACCCCAACCAAGGATGCTGCCTCTGTGATCTCAGTCCACTCTTGTACATGCATTGCATCTTGGCTTTTGTTACCCTTCAATAAGGAAGTAGGGGGGGAAAAAAGCCTTCCTGGGCCTAGATTGCAGAAGGACCTATGTGATTTAAGAGGTTAGAGATTTCAAAAACAAAAACATGGTTAGCATCTGCTTTCAACAATTCATCCCCAGGATTATTTATGGACAGTAACTCTGCAAGCCTCTCTCTTCACTTTAGCAGAAGGAGCCAGTGTAAAGGAAAAGGCCATCAGGGGACCCAGAAGTGGCTTGCACCACAGTTCTGAATTTTATGCAGGCACGCTGCTGCTGCTGCTCGCTGCTCGGGACTGAGAACTGGCGCCTGCCCTTGCTCACCAACTTCACTCAGCCTCATTTAGTCTTTCAATTCACCCTCATCACTCAAACCCAAAAGCCTCAAGTTCCGAGTGAGAAAGGATGTATTAAGTAGGATCCCAGGGCACCCACAGAAAATGTTCTAGAAGTCCCTATGAGTGAGCAGAAGGGAACGAAATATAAATAATGGCACGAAATGTAAGTACACCCGGTTCCCTGGCTCTGAAACTATGGAGCAGAAAGGGGAAAACTTGGCTCAGAGCCACGGGCGGGGGTGGAAGAGGGGAAAGCCGGGCTGCCCCGCGCGTGGAACCCTGTAGGGACCCGCGGATACGGGGGCGGGCTTCCAACCTCGAGGTCCCGCCCCTGGCCAGCCCCTTCTCTATCATTGGAGGACACTAGGGGATGGTCCGAAGGACATCTCCCCCCCTCTCGCCACCCATTTTTGCCCCGCCTACTTCCCGCCCACCTTTTCTGCTTTTTTTTTTTATTTTTTTATTTTATTTTTTTTTTTTTTTGAGCCTCTGAACATTGGAATAGGAAACCCCCAGTTTCGCCTCTGAGACCCTGAACACCGGGAAAGTGCGCCTCACTGCCACGCCCATTCACTGGTGACATCACCAGGGGGCGGGGGATGTAGCCCCGCCCCCAGAGCCGAGGCGGTCTGCCTAGCGGTCCCAGGTTCTGCTGTACTGCGGTCCTGGGTGCCCTCAGTGCGCGCCTTCCTGTTACACTTTGCGGCAGTCAGGACCCCCGCGGTCCTCTTCAGTCCCTCCACAGCCAGTCACCTGATTTCAATTTTTCATCTTTCTCTCCCCTTCTCAGTCTGTGTGCCCAGATGGCTGTGTGGGCTCCCGTGGCAGGGACCTGGATAGGCAACTACAATCAAAGCTCCACCTCCCTAATCCCTTTGCACTTCTGCTACTAACTTGATAGCTTAACGCGTTCGCCCTGCAGTCTTGCAAAATATGAAGGTTCTTTTACTTTTTATTCTAATTTTTGTTTGTATTTTCATTGGCTTAATTAATAAAGTTAGCCAGTGCGGCCTTCAGCATTTGATCATAAAGACGCTACAGTTCAGGCTGGGGATGAGGGTGTGGTGCATTGCAGAAAAGGGAGAGAAAAATCAAAACTTAATTGCATTTAGAAAGTAGCCCTTGTTACATTTCCATCTTACAAGACTCATTACAAAACCTTGCACAAACGCAGCTGAAGAGACATTTCGTTGCTGTACAGTATGTGCTGGATCATCAGAAAACAGCTCAGGTGTTCGTGGGTCCTGGTGTGCTTGTGTGTACGTGCTGGACGTGGGTGCGTGTGTAAACATGTGAGTGCGGCCCAACAAATGACCCCAGGAGGCTCCCAGAAAACAGCCTGCACACCGGAGCTTGCATTGGAAATTTCCTAAAGCGCTAAGAGTTTGTAAATCACAAGATTCCGAAAATCGTCTTAGTCAAGGCTCATTGCCTAATGCCTTTCCCATCTCCAAAATGGGTATCTCTGTGTCTGGTGTAGGGGCCCCTTGGGTGGGTGAGAGTTGCCAGTGGTGAGATTCACAAGAGGGCATGAGAAATCTATTTCTGGGGCCCAAAGTGTGCAGAACGAACCCCCGGGGCCTGGGCGTGTACGCGCGCTCGTGTGCAGTGTGTGCGGGCTTGCTCGGGGGCGCTGGGCTCCTCTCCCGGGCGTGCGCGCGTTTGTGTGAGTGTGTGCGCCTCTCCCGGGCGTGCGCGTGTGTGTGTGTGTGAGTGTGTGCGGGTGCTGGGTGCTTAGGGGCCGGATTGTGTGCTCACGCGCTCCAAGCTGTGCCTAGAGCTCAGCTGCGGGGCTGGAGAAAGAGTGGGTAGGCTAGAGCCGGGTCTGCAGGCCTCAGGGGGCAAGGGCGGGAGGCGATTCGGCTCGGATGAGTTTCCCCCCCCCCCAGGCCAGAAGCCCCTCAAACCTCGCTGCAGGGTTGGAAGTGTCTTGGTTCCTTGTGGCGCCTATGGAGGAGGGAGCAGGTTGAACAATTGAGTGGGCGCGCCAGGACTCCCCGGCTCCGGGAGGGGAGAGAAGAGGGAGCCCCGATTCTGCGCAGGGAGGGGGCGGGGCTGGGGGCCCCTGGAAGGAAGAGGCGGGGGTGGCCACCGGGATTGGAAGCGGTCACCCCAGAGAGGCTAGATTTCGTTGAGATTGCACATTAATCGGAGATATCTGATTAATTCCAGAGTCTTATGACTATAAATGGCGATTCTCCACCAAGGTGTCTATATTAAAAAAAAAAAAAAATCAATCCGTGTCATCCCCCACGTCAGGCCTGCTCGTGGGCGTGAGGCTGTACTTCCTCCGCCCCCTCCTAATGGAGTGAACCATTCCCAGCTTCCCCCCCCCCCCAGCCTCTCACTCTCTCGCTCTCTTTCTGTCTCTTCCTCGCTCCCTCTCTTTCTCTCCTCCCTCTGCCTTCCCAGTGCATAAAGTCTCTGTCGCTCCCGGAACTTGTTGGCAATGCCTATTTTTCAGCTTTCCCCCGCGTTCTCTAAACTAACTATTTAAAGGTCTGCGGTCGCAAATGGTTTGACTAAACGTAGGATGGGACTTAAGTTGAACGGCAGATATATTTCACTGATCCTCGCGGTGCAAATAGGTAAGTGGCCACCCGGTCCGGCATGGTAGGCGACAGGAGATTGCCTGCTCCAGAGGCGCCTAAAGGGACTTGCTGGCGTCCGCCGCTGGATGCAGAAAACTCTGCAGACACCCGGGGTCGGGGCATTAGCTGTTTGGGACTCAGGAGTCCTGGTTAGGTTTTCCTAAAGTAAGGGACTTGAAAGTGTGCGGCAGGCTGTTTTCTAAAGGGATTTTCTCCTTTCTCTCCAAAGCGCACATCCATTTTTTGCTACCCTCTCCCGATTTAAAGCAGAGTCGGAGCTCTGGTAGTATGCGGTCCCTGTTATACTGCAAGGTACTATTTTGAGGGGTCGAAAGGTGAATGCAGAAATAAGATGGCTAGGCAGCTAGGTCTGAAAAGTTTATGTGCAGAAAGCAAAGATATTCCAAGGCTGCCCTCAAACTGCAGCATTTAGAACTTTGTCCTTCCCCCACCCCCACCCCCATATCCTAGCTGCAGCTTTTGCTCCAGGCACCGCAGACTCTGACTTAGGAGGATAAATCAGCCAAATATGTACCGATATACTTTTTCAGGCTCATGTGTGTTTGTGACTTGACCAATATTAGCGTCTGTTTTACATGTTTGCAATATGTGGTTTCGTGTGTTTGTCATTTCTGTTTGCGGAGGTTTGTGAAAGATTGTTTTAGTCCCCATTTTATGTTAAGGAATGTTGAGTCTCAGTTACACTGTCAGAAAGCTTTTTTTTTTAAGTTCATATTTCTCCGACCAAAACCATAAGAGACATCCTCTTGTCTGATGTCGGATGGGAATATTAATTAATGTAGCAGAAAAGTGAAAGTAAAGCAGCGTATTAATAGAATGGACAAGAGGAAAAAATAGAAACTCTCCAATGGGTTTTCTGAAGATGAAAGGAACTGCTATCCTGGGCTGTAGAATTCTTTATAGACAAACCTTGCAGTATCTCAGAGGTGCGTTAGGGAATTTGTGTGGGATAAGAGAAGAAATCATTTTTTTTTTCTTCCTAAGAAATGTAGCGGAATCAGGGTTCCCAGAACATTAAACTGACTCTTTACATCCGGGTCTAGCTATATGCACTTGGCATGATTTTTTGAGAATTTGATTTGGGGGCATTGTTGTCGTTTTGCAGAAAGTGGGATTTTGCAAAGCAAGGACCATGCATGGGCATGCTGGCTTTTTCTTTAATTTTAGAAAATTACTTAATGCTTTGCATCTGGTGGTTTTGTGCCTTTGACATTAGTTCAAAGAGCTGCAACAATCCTAAGACATAGGTCCCAAGAGCAGCAAATTTTCTTTAAGTATTGGAAATAAGTGGTTGTGGCATTTTGTAATTAGCCTGCAAATGTTTATAGATGAGGAGAGATGGTTTTAAGGCAGGGATTTCACCTGGACAATGTATGTTTGGGGGCTCTGTTTTCCTTGTGGGTGAGAATAGAAAATAATGGAACAGTGATTGCAGGAGGATGCATTTGATTAACCTCAGCCTAAGAATAACCAAAATATTGGTAGTGGAGTTAAAATGCATATGTTCCCAAATGTCTACCTTTTTTTTTTTTTGTATCATAGCCTTAGTCTTTATTAATTCATGGATGAAAGCTGTCCCAAATCACTGACATTTGGCAAGAAAAGTGGGGGTTGGGGAGGGGCGGGGAAGTAGAGGATGGTGATCGAATGAAGATACGGCCGGGAGGAAGTTTGGAATGAATGAAAGAGGTCCAACGAATGAATGAGCAAATAAAAACCCGCACTGGATAGGGATGTTGGAGAGAACAGAGGAGCTGGGGTCGACTGCCTGGGGGTTACAGAAACCGGATTCAGAAAGAACTGACTTGAGCAGCAAAGGCTGCAACCTCTGTCCTGTTCATTGCTTCCGGCTTTTCAGTGAAAGCTAGATCTCTAGAAGCCACAAATGCGAAACACAGAAATGTTCCCGGATTCGTATTTTACACACGCTCTCACACATGCGCGCTGCAGGATCTGCTCCAGCAATGCCTGGGAAAGTAAGGTGACTGGAGTGCTTCCTACCCCCAGAAAGCACATTTAAAAAAAAAAATCCTCATGCCATTTTTTTTTTTTTTTTTTTTTTGGACACCGAATTTTGGGGGTGAGGAAGGCCCTGGGGCCAGAAAAGACTGGGTTGCATTTTGTTTCCTTCCTGCAAAGGCGTGATTGTAACATACATTATAGACGAAGCTGTGTAGCAGGGGTTCTTTCATCATGACCGACCTACATTAGAACAAAGATTTTATTTATTCATAAGACGCAGTGTCAGTATTTAAATTTTGCTTTCATTATAGTGCCGAAGTTTTTTTTTTTTTAATAGGTGTGAAGGAAGCTAGGTTTTTGAAAGGTTATGTGTCTGCCCCAGCTAAGGTGGAAGTTAACCTCGGTCTCTTCCGCAGAGCTTCCCGTTCCGGATTAGAAAGCATTAGTCCCGCCTAGCTCTTCCTGCGGCAATCTGCCGATGCGCAGCTCGCAGAGGCTGTGTCTGACTGGGTCACCTTCCCCTGGGTCTGCAGTAACCTGGCATCCAGGAACAGGAGGCTGTGTAAGAAAGGGTGCTACCCTTCCAAGAGGCTTTCAACAGGAATGATAGCAGAGGAGGCCTGTTCCCAGATCCCCTGGAACCAAAGACCGATTTCCCTTCTAGTATTCACCTTTCCCAGCCCCTCTGGCAGAGATTTGATTCTCTCTGTAGTCCTTTGGCACCCCGGGTGTTTGGGGCCTACTCCCCCCCACCTCGCCGCCTCGTTGTTTCCCGAGCCCCCAACCCAGTTCGTTTGCCACCGGGTGGGAAGAAATGGTTATTGCACGTTAGTTGGCTTGGAAGCTAGAGGCTCTTAAATCCAAAGCTTCCAGATTTGGTTGGCTTGAGTTTGGGAGCTAGGACCCCAATGTGCCTTGGAATTGTTCCCTTCTCTCTCCTCGGCCTCTGGCCCAGCTTCTACCTACTTCAACCCCACCCCTTCGTAGGAGCCAGAACCTTTGGCCGCAGCCTATCTGGCGCCTAGCAAGCTGGCTGCAACCTTGAGAGAGAATGTCTTATCTCCTTGCTGTTTCTACAGGCATTAAGGGGAAAGGCAGAGTTGAGAGATGCAAAGAAGAAAAGGGAAAGAAACAACACACACACACACACACACACACACACACACACACACACACACACACACACCTCGCCCCAGATAGGCCCCTGAATATTTAAACTGCCCTGATTTAGACTGCAAGAACTGTGCACCAAAGGGTCTCACAAACAACAGACTTCATGCTGGGCCATTGGTTTCGCAATAAAAACAACCAGTACCCGTGTCTGTTTTGGCTCTTCCAAAGACTTTATTCATTCATTCATTCATTAAGCGGTATTTGCTGAGCACCTGACAAAGACCCAGGCTCCTGATGTCAACTCTTGCGGTATGGTGTTTGGTTGAGCTGAGCAAGCAAGCCGGGACACCACACCTCCCTGGGCGTTTTTGCCCCCCAGCACTCTGCTTCTCAGACCTCCTCTGTCACCACAAAAATGGAAGATTGCACCGCGAGACGTGACAGGGTTTGGGTGGAGGAAGTGTTGAGAGACAAGGAGGGAGTGAGGAAAAAAGAGTAATAAAGGAGATGAGGGAGGTGAGAAGAGGGGGCGATGAAAACAGAAAAAGTAGAGCTCAGTTGGGAGCGAGCTAGAGAAAATAAATGGACTCACCTCCCTGCACCCATCTGTACCACCCACGCTCAGATCCCACCATCTGCACCAGAGGTGGGCCGAATGCAAATAGGTCATTTTGGGGCCACTCCGCTGAATTTTAAAAGAGATCATCCCAAGGGGCCATAGGATCAGTAGTGGGGCAGGGTGGTGGCTATGCTGACTGGTGTCCCTCCTCCCCACAGCTTACCTGGTGCAGGCCGTGAGAGCTGCAGGCAAGTGCGATGCAGTCTTTAAGGGCTTTTCAGACTGTTTGCTCAAGCTGGGGGACAGCATGGCCAACTACCCGCAGGGCCTGGACGACAAGACGAACATCAAGACCGTGTGCACGTAAGTGTGCTCTCTGACCCTGGGTTTCCCTTCTGGGGGCGCTGCTGAGGTAAGAGTTCCAGGCCATCCCCCACCCCCATTCCCTGTCCTATGCGTTACCCTCCTGTGCTCAGCATTCTACTAGCGGCAATCTGTACCTTTCTGCCTTCTGGCCAAAGCTGCTGACAGGCCCTCTGTCCCTGAGGCCCAGGTCCCTGGATTAGAATCTGCACTAAGGGGACCTCATAGCCTGAGGTGGCCTAAGGAAGAGGATTCTCCCACTAGCCTAAGCTCTCCAGTCTTACACACCTGCACCCAACAGGCACTGTCCCACAGCAAGTGACAGAATGCCATTTTATGGGTTCCTCACCCCACACAAATCTCTGCTTTGAGATGATCTCCAGTCCTTTTTTCTTATGAGTAGGTAACCTGCCTACTACTCTGAACAGTTGGCTTTGGTTTGAGAAGAGTTGGGGGTAACATAAAAGTGAAGCCCCCCTCCAAAGCACAACAAGAAAATCCAAGAACAGGAAGGGACTAGGATCTCCCGGACTCTTAGAGAAAGCTTGAAACAATGTTGTGTATCAATGACCCTGGAGCTTGGTAGGGTTTGCTAAGTTTTGGAGTTCATTCCCAGGTTTGGGATAGTCACCCTACTTGCTCCTATTACCCTTCCCCTTCCCATATCTGTATGATCCCCCAGAGGGAGGCAGCTGCAAGTCCAGGGGGAATGAGGCTTTCACTGTCAAGTTCAGTGGTATTTTCTCAGTGATTGACTAGAAAGCCTGCCTCTGACAGTAAAGAGGCTTCCAGTATAACCCTGCTGCCCTGGACCTTCACATCTTACTGCTGCCGACCTACCTTAGAAATGCCTTCATCTTCTGCACCATACATTTTCCTTTCTTTCGAAAATCAGCTGTATTGGACCAGTCCTACAAAATGGCCTTGTTATAAAGCTAAGGCAAGAAGCATTTTTGTTCCCAGAGGTCAAAGTGCCCATTTTCCACATCATCTGTGTGGCTCTTCTCCTAAAGGAGAAGGGGATTCATTTAAGCAATGATCAAATGGAAGGGGTCTATCTTGCTATAAGCTTTACTGAATACTTCAGCACTCACTAGGAACTCCTACAAGTAAATGGCTGCTATTTTTTATAATAAAAAAGGAAAAAAATGTATTTAATTCCAAACATCTGATAAGAATGAACCTGCAAATCAGGGCAGGTTTACATATTCCACAACCTTCAGCATTTGCTAAAAACATGGCATATTCCTAGCTACTTTTATTTATTTATTTATTTATTTATTTATTTATTTATTTATTTATTTTAGCAGGACTAAGGTCCTGGGAAACATGGACAAAAAAAGGGCTATCCCTGAGGTAGTGGGCAGCTGGATTCAGAACCTACTATGTTAATAGTGCCCATTGCTCAGCAAGGAGGTGAATGCTCTCCTCTCCCAGCCCCAGGTGAACTTTTGCTCTTTTCCACACCCCACATCTCAGAAGTGCCCTGTCCCCATCTGGGTTACCTGAAAAAAGGAACAGTTTATGTGTCCTTTGCTTTCCAGGTGTAATTGCTTTAAAGTTCTGCAGGAGAGTTGTCCCTTGGGCCTTGCAGTATCCGTTAATCTTGGTATTTATTACAAATTGTGGAACCTGAAAGTCCTGTGCTCAGGTCCAGAAGCCCTAATAACTCAGAGAAGAGACAAAGTCCCTAGAAGGCAGCCTAGTTCTAAGAACTCCAACAAGCATTTATAACTCGCCATCAGCCAGAAGCCAGGTTTGAAGTGGAAGCAAAGGCTAAGCTTGCCTTCAACAAGCTTACAGTCCCCCATGAGCGAACAAAAGGAAGAGCTGAGGAAAAAATGCACCCACACTTCTGAGAGTGGCTGCTGATCCTGAGCTCAGGGTCTGCGCACAGTGGGAGCCAGACGCGCAAATCGACCCACCTTCGAAAGGAGACAGAGCCTTAGGAATCGATCATGGCTTGAGATTATATTTAGTTTCCGGATCTATTTTGGGTTTCCAGAAGAAAGGGGGACAATTAAAAAAAAAAAAAAAAAAAAAAAAAAGGTTGGATGAAGGCTGTGGGGGCGGGGCAGAAGCTGAGCAGAGGAAGAGGCTGAGTTGCAAGGGTTGATTTAGGAAGTGACCTGAGGTTGTGAATCCGAGCCAGGGAGGAACAGCGTAGGTATCCCTCATGCCCACTCTAGAGAAGTGGGTGATACATCTGAGGGGTGGTAGGACAGAAGCCCTCGGTATCAAACCCTATGAAAAAGGCTAGGTCAGAGGAAGCACGCAGCTGGTGGACCTAGAGCACAGGGGTTTGCAAGAGCTGGAGAAGGCTCCAGAGCCCGCTCTGGTGCTCAGGCACTTAACACTCACCGACCCGGGAATGGAGAGGAGAGCTGGCGGGGTCCCCAGACTCCTTTAGAGCTCCGGGACTTTGGATAGGCGGCGTGACCTCCGAGGACCGAAGCAATCGGGGACAGCGGAAAGGAAGAGAGGGAAACAGAGGGAAGGGGGAAAGAAAGAAAGGGGAAATGAGGAGAAACTGGAAACAAAAGAAAGGTGTGGGGGCTGGGTGGAGGGAGAGAAGGAGGGCGAAAGCGAGAGAACCGCGGCTTGGAGAGGCTGGAAACAGAAGGGGCGAGGGGGAGGAGAAAGTGAGAAGCCAGGAGGGGAGGGCCTGGCTCAGAGCAAGTCACCCATCTTGCGAGCTAAGAGGCATTAATGGGCCGCAGCTTGCAAGGCTTAGTGCTGTTTTCTTAGCTTTCCCGGAGGAGGGTGAGCAATCTGTTTGCGCAGGCCGTGGTGCCAGAGCCAGGCAGCGGGTGCGACCCCGCTCCTGGCTGTCAGGTCCCCTCTTGGCACCGGACTAGAGGAATAAGATTGGAAAGGGAAGGCCTACACTCTGAGAACGGGTTTCTGGATTGAGCCAAGGATCTGGCAGGTCGTTATCCAGTGCGGAACAGGTCCGGGAAAGGGTGGCCGGCGGGAAAGAGGCACCCTGGGAGGTTGGCAAGGGCGCAGTCACCCGGGGCGCAGATCAGGGGTCCTCCCACGTCAGAAGTGATTCTGAATCTGTTTTGTTCTGCTCCTCGCCAGATACTGGGAGGATTTCCACAGCTGCACGGTCACAGCTCTTACGGATTGCCAGGAAGGGGCGAAAGATATGTGGGATAAACTGAGAAAAGAATCGAAAAACCTCAACATCCAAGGCAGCTTATTCGAACTCTGCGGCAGCGGCAATGGGGCGGCGGGGTCCCTGCTCCCGGCGCTTTCCGTGCTCCTGGCGTCTCTCTCGGCAGCTTTAGCGACCTGGCTTTCCTTCTGAGCGCGGGACCAGGTCCCCCTACCCCCACCCCCGGCGCACCCACCCACACTCACTTCATGCTCCCGGAAATCGAGAGGAAGAGCCGTTCGTTCTCTGAGGACGTTTGTGATTCTCTGTGATGTTGAAAACACTCATATGGGATTGTGGGAAATCCTGTTTCTCTTTTTTATTTCGTTTGAGTCCTTGTATTTTATTTACCAAATGTTACCGATCAGTGAGCGAGCAAGCACAGCCAAAACCGGACCTCAGCTTTAGTCCGTCTTCACACACACAAAAAAAGAAAACGGCAAACTCACCCCCATTTTTAATTTTTTTTTTATTTTTTATTTTGGCAAAAGAATCTCAGGAATGGCCCTGGGCCACCTACTATATTAATCATGTTGATAACATGAAAAATGATGGGCTCCTCCTAATAGGAAAGCGAGGAGAGGAGAAGGCCAGGGGAATGAATTCAGGAGTGGTGTCCACGTGGGAAGCATCTGGTGAATACTCACACTCACGTCTTTCTTCCACAGTACCTTGTTTTGATCATTTCCACTGCACATTTCTCCTCCAGGAAAGCGAAAACACACAGTGTGGGCTTTGCATTTTAAGGGCAAGACAGATAAAAACAGGCTGCGTGTGGCGGGAAAGGTGGTCAGAGGAAATGCTATGGTCACTGAGGGGCTGGCTTCACCTGCTATTGTCGATGCATCGTTCAGGTCCGCTGCCTTTGTTTTCCCTCCTCTCTCTTGTTTTAGCTGTTACACACACAGTAATACCTGAATATCCAACGGTATAGATCACAAGGGGGTAATCAATGTTAAATCTAAAATATAGTTAAAAAGATTTTGACATAAAAGAGCCTTGATTTTAAAAAAAAGAGAGAGATGTAATTTAAAAAGTTTATTATAAATTAAATTCAGCAAAAATTTGCTACAAAGTATAGAGAAGTATAAAATAAAAGTTATTGTTTGAAATGGGGGGTGTCTTTTTTTTCCTTCGCCGAGTTCCCAGAATACCTAGAGGAACACAGGTCTGCCAGGCGATAAATTCACCTGTTCACCAAATGACTGCATGATCTGCTGTCTTTATGGGGACCTTCATCAGTTGGACACTTGGCTATGTCTCCTAGATTCGGCTTATATTTGAAACATGAAAAGGAAGTCGCTTTCAAATTAACCAGAGACCAGAGGCCTTTACTAAGTGTGCACTGTAGGCTTTCACAAGCAGACACAATGCCCATCCATGGTTAGCCTGCTGCCCAGGCCCCAGGTGGGCCTGAGCCCTAACCTAGGCTCCTGCAGGCCGGGCCCTTTTGGCTGCAGGCCTCTTCCTCTGCGGTGGCTAGAGGCAGCTTGCAAAGGAACCGCCATTAAGGGCTCTGCAGAGGGGCAGAGAGGCTGCATTCCCAGGCGGGGTTCAGGCGAATCCTTTCATAATTAATAAGACGGCTCAGCTGAAATGGCGAGGAGACGGGGCCCTATTGATCTGCCAGTCCATCTGCTTCCACCCCTCCTATTTATAGGCTCCTCATGGCTTTACAGATTGTAAACAGCCGCAGTGGAGACTGGAAACAAGGTCCGCATACATGGTGTAGGTTAGGAGAAGGAGAACTACACATAGGCTTCTGGGTTCATTGAAATCAAAATCTGATTTCACTGCATGTAGGGGTGGGAGGGAGTTCGTGGGTGCTCCCTAGGGTACGTGGAGGGGAGGAAGAAGGATGAAGGCTGATCCCGGTGCTGAAGCAGGCTCCCACACCCAGCAGCCCACTGCCCGCCTCAGGGAGGGTGTGCCAAAGCTCTGAAATGCAATGTGTAAACAATCGCTAGTGTAACAGTTCATAAATCAAACCCAGTGGGTCGCAGCCCAATCTGCATTCCCCCCACGGATTGAATTCCAGCAACACATGAGTCCTTGCGCCCCGAGCGCTGGAAGCTGCACGGATTCTTAATGGCAGAATACATTATGGGCTTTGGTTCACGCACGCGCCTCGCGGAGCCACTCTGGGAAACAGTTCCACAGGCTCCCCGCCCCCAACCCCTCCTCCTCCCTAGATCTGGATCTCAGCCCAAACCAAAGGAGATCCTACTGTCTGGTCAGGGGTGCTCACCTGCAAAGGATCGCTCATTATTTTGGAAAACAGTTGGAATCTGTTCATAATTTCATTTCGATGGAATTTTCAAAAAGTCTAAGTATACAGATAATCAACCCAAGCACAACCGCTAGAATTTAAATGAAAACATCTACGCCTGTCGCAAATACCAATCTATTTAGTGGGGTAAGGGAAAAAGGAGAAAAAAAAGAGGGGTTCCTCCGGTCCTGTTTTTTAATCATAATAGTTTGCTGTTCAAGATCTTTTTCCTTTGCGAATTGGGGACGATCTATTGCCCAGCTCTGAGCTCCTAGCTTGTGGAAATGAAGCCCGCTTCGTGTTCTCTGCGGGCTTAGGGGGAAAAACGGACAGGCAGACTGCAGTCGCTCCTCCCGCTGCCCGCCTAAGCGAGCTTTCCTCCAGATCCTCCTCCAAGATGACCTAAGTAGGCGAGGCTGTGGGAGGAGACAGAAGGGATCAGGGGGAGGGCCGATTTGTTCACCCAACAGAGTTCCTTTCTAGGAACCCCTAGGTTTGAGTGAAGTTCCAACTGCTCCCCAGGTGAAACTGTTCTAGAAGGAAGGCTTCCCAACACTAATCCCTCTGGAGCTCCTTCTCCAAGCTGTCCCTGGGAAGACAGGAAACATGGGCTTACTATTTGAAGCTATCTTACCCTGTCAGGGGACCACACTCAGGTGCTCATCTCTCCAGGACCTGAAGGCGAGTCTTCGAAACTCGCCTCTGGACCTGGCTGCTCAGCGAACGTTTGTTTGTATGTTTGTTTGTTTGTGGTTGTTTAGATTATTATCGCACCGTCTCCAGCTATCGTGTGCTGTTTAATCACGATGGCATCCCCATATGTTGGTTGGTGTCACTGTTTTTAAAGCAGCAATCCGGAAGTCCCTGTTGCCAGTTCTGGGAGGTGGTGTCCCTGTCCAACCGCTGTGGTGAAGTGGGCGGAGTGGTCACCAAGTTCAGCACATCTACCTGCTCCAGACCTGACCTGCGAGCTTCCTCTTAAGCTCTCCCCGCGGTACACTGGTCCAGCACTTGAAGAAGACCCTCTTCACTACATCCTAGGCAAAGTAGATTCAAGACATATGCTAGTTCACAATCCGAGTGAAAATGTGAGAAAGGCCATTTCGGGAACCCCTGCCTCAGTAGGGAGAACGAAAGGGGAGGGAACCGGCCAGAGAAAGACACAGGCCAGGGAACTGGAAACCTGTGGAAACGCAGGGAAGATGTCCAGAAAGTGAAGGTAATGGAGAGGAGAGAAGGGAGCGATTTGTATGTAAAGTAAGGAAAGAGGCTGATGGAAATAGAGCAAGGAAGATAAGCTTGCCTCGGAGGAGGAAAGGAGGCCAAAGAGAAACCCTTTGCCTTCACTTAGGACTCCAGGTGAAGTGAATGTTACAAGTGACCACTGCACAGACTTTCTTCCTGTGGATCCAAAAAGCTTTTCACTGCGGATTAAAAAGATTTTTCTTGGTTTTTTTTTTTTTTTTGTTTGTTTGTTTTGTTTTTACTTCAGATGGCTGTGGTGTAGGTGCCCAGTGCAACTTTGCTCTGAAGTACCCATCCCCAGCACCCACAATCTGAACCTGCAGTCTCGGACCCTGGGCTCCTGGAAAGCAGGCAAAAAACGTCTTGTCTTCCCAGCCATTTCCTGGTGTGTGTGTGTGTGTGTGTGTGTGTGTGTGTGTGTGTGTGTGTGTGTGTGTGTGTGTGTGTGTTCCCTCCTGGAAAGCAGGCAAAAATGTCTTCCCATTTCCTGGTGTGTGTGTGTGTGTGTGTGTGTGTGTGTGTGTGTGTGTGTGTGTGTGTGCAGTTTCTCAGTGCCCTTTCCCCACACAGAGAAGGCTCTTTGCCCTTCATCTGGGTGGGGTGTTCCAGTCACATTTGTGCCCTAAAGGAAAGTCACCTTTAGCTTGACTTTCAGGAACTTGGACTCCAGCAACTCCAGAAGCACCTGTTCCCAGTTGTGACAACATTAGGCACAGTTGCTGAGCCCCTGGTAGCTGCTTCCTAGTCTTCTGAATGTCAGCTGGGCACAGTCACACTTTGTGTCACAGGATTGTAACCGGCCCATAGAGCTAGTTCTTATTCGAACTCCTTCCTGTTTGGTTTAAGCTTTATCTGCTGGGACTCCTAGGATTCATCAAAGTAACTCCCACGGGCAACCCCATTCTGCATTTTAAAATGTTGGAGAGTTTTTTTTCTCTCTCTCTCTCCATAGTCCTACAATTTTAAGGTAGGCAGTGGTATGTATCCAAATCTTTAATCCTAACACTCTAGAGGCAGAGGCAGGTGAAGGTGGATCTCTGAGTTTGAGACCTGCCTGGTCTAGAAAGGGAGTTCTAGGATAGGCTCTAAAGCTATACAGAGAAACTCTGTCTAGGAAAAACAAAAACAAACAAAACAAAAGGATACCCTGGACAAGCTCCTTGGAATAAAGCTGTCAACTTATGGGTGATTTCCCAGAGACCACACCACCCCACCTGGCTCTGCCCAGACCCTTACTGTCCCAAACCAAGTGAACAGCTGCATAGTTCCTGCCATGTACAGAAAATTCCTCTTCCAACAGTAAAAAATGTAAAAACAAATTATCCTTGTAGGCAACAAAGTAATTCAAGGGGACATAAATGGAGGGTGGGTTTAGGCTTTTTCTGAGGGATGTGCTTTTCATTTCAACCAAATCTTTAGATGAACATCCACACACATAGCTCCTTCCTTTAACCAGTAGCCTACTATTCCACCGAATCATGTTCTAGTTTACTTTTGTTTTATTACTTTAACCTATATTGATGCACATATGAGGTTTTGGTTTCTGTTTGTTTTGTCTATGATGCTTTATAGCTGTTACTGTCACAAATGTTACTATTCAAATGACATTCTGTACTAGATTTTTATTTCTTTAATAGTGTAGAGTCCTGTTCTCCCCCTACTCTCCACCCCCACTGCCTCTTCAGACTGAATTGCTGGGCACAAATGTCTATGGGTTTTCCTATGAAAAGATGCCAATTAATCATCTGGAGGATCCAGGCTACCAGTTTTTCTGCATCCTTGTCAACCTTGGGTGTTAACAGTGCCTTACAGCTTTCAGGAAGGCTGCCTTCCCTGCTACTTCACAGGGACCTTATGCATCGCTTTTGGACCCTGAGGACCAGAACATATTTTTCCAAGGACTGAGAAGCTCCAGCTAGACTTTGGATTCCTGCCCTAGATTGTGGCAAATAATCAAAATTATTTTATTCAAACCTGGGAGTAATTAGTCATGACTCCCCACCCCTAATTTAACCAACAGGCACAGGGAGTCTAGGACCCCTGGGGGTTTGGTAAGTGATTAGAAGGCCCAACTGAGGATCCCCACCACACCTTCTATTGTTACCTGGCACTCACCCTGCGGGATGCCAGCTCCCCATCCTAGCTGAGGCTATGGTTCTATGGCCTGGCTGCAGTGGGTGGCAAGCAAAGGAGGCAGCACAGGAAAAGCCCGTGGACAAGGGGCACAGACAAGGAAGATGAAGGCTGCAT